GGCCGGGAGGCGGGGCGGCCCGCGACCTTCTCCGCAGGGGTTCTGACCCGCGACCCGGAGGAGTGCGGGGAAAGGATTCGGGAGAGGAGCGCAAAGGCAGAAACTTTAAAGTGATTTCCTCCCTAATGGGAAACGCCAAGTCTAGAACGGCCGCGGTGGGGGAGCAAAATTGGAACCCAGAGCTTGCGGTAAGAGACTTAAGACTGCAGTGTCCTGCCTCTGAAAAGTTTATTCTTGAAGTGTGGACCTGAGCGTTTGCTGTTCAGGGCCCTCATTCCCCGGCGGATCTCAGTGGTCGCTGTTGGGATTGTCACAGGTGGCAACCTTCTGACGCCTTAATGCTTCTTGTGTTTGTTTCCCGACTCAGGATTCAAAAGGAGCTGGCAGACATCACTCTAGACCCTCCACCTAACTGCAGGTGAGCTGCCGTTGAGATTTTTTTCTTTTTATAATCGTTCTAACCTCTGCCTTCGGGTTTTCTTTGCATTATCACAGATTTTTTCCTTTCTTCTTTGGTTGTTGCTTGTTTTGGTGCGCGTATGAAATAACAGCTGAAACTTTTTAAATTTATGTAGAGTGTTTTGATGAGCTTTTGAAGAGCTTAGTACTCTGTCCAGGAGGAGTAATGGATTTATTTAAAGGTGTACCTTGCCTAATGGGTCTTAGATATGTTCTGTAAGGATGATGTAAAACCTTTTAGGTGCTCAGGTACATTGGGATTTAGATAACTGATTTGCCATACTAATGTCTCAGATAATGTTAAGCTAATAGATAGTGGGATTATACCCTGGATCCTCAGAGTTATTCCAGTGTATATAGTTTTGTATTCGACTTTTGGCAGGGCAATTCGAGAAATAATTTGTGACTTTGATAGGATTTTATTTTTAATTATAGATTTAAATTTGAAAGGTACTGTTTTTCCTTGGTATCTCTTCATTCAGACTGTATATAAGGGTGTGTATTTCAGTTTCAAAATAAACATTTTGCTACTGTCCAGTCAGGGTAGAAGGAAGACTTGATGACTTTGCTAAATGAACAGTGAAGTGGAGGACTTAAAACGACGTGTTATAATAAACGATTTATTTGAAGGAGGTCATTGTTTAGTTCTATAACTCTCATAGTTTAAAAATTAATTATAGCAATTAATTTCTCAGGTTGGCATTGGAGTGGGATGTGTGATTGCATTAGTGTTCTAAACTTTCAGTCAGGAATAGAAGTTATTGACAAGAGAATATTCAGTGGCCATATGCAGAACTTAAGACAGCTATGTAGCAATATTCAGGTTAAAAGCTAAATGAAATAATCCTAAACTGATCAGTTATATAAGTGCAAATTTTAGTATTGTGTTCTGGATATATTTGTTCTTGATGTTGATCGGGTGTGTGAGATGCTTGTTGGTGAAATTTTGTTCTGTTTTGTGAGGAAAGTCATTTTGAGTTTGAAAAGTTTTAAAACTATGCATTAGTTTGTAATGGAACTTCTTAGTCATTCTTGAGGATTTCTTTTTTGGCTAGCAATCTGCAAAAAGTTGAGAGCGTGAAGTAGTAACAGCTGTTCAAATGGAAGTCACAGCGTCCTCAGTTTGTGTGACTTCATGGACACGTGTTGTATATTGAGTAGATCTGTGCTGTGTTGTTGTTGCTCTTGTTTGGTATTATGTGCCTCTGTGTTTGTTTTTCTTGTCACCAGACAGCTCTCAGGGATCAAATTAGAAAGTTAAACCATGGTTTTAAAACTAGTATCATTTATTAAAATATATGGTGGCTTTGTGAATAAGTGCTGTCAAATTTAAAATTATAAACACTGAAGATTATCTGGGGATTAATCTTTTTATTTGATTAATCATTTTTTTAAATGGGATAAGTACACTCCAATTTGACGTTTCAAATGAGTTTCGTGTGTGAGAGATTTCCGTTTTTGAGTCATGTAGAACTTTCTTTGAAGCCTCCTCCTAACACCTCTTTAAGATGAATCAGTGGAGTATCATGTGATCAGGAGAAGCTCAGAACTGAGAGCCTAGTGCTCTCTTCAGCAGCACATATACTAAAATTGGAATGATACAGACAGGATTAGCATGGCCCCTGTGCAAGGATGACGTGCAAATTTGTGAAGCGTTCCATATTTTTAGGCCAAAGCTAAAAAAAACAAAAACAAAACTGAGTGGCTGTTTGGCAGTGGGGAACAAATTTCAGTATATTTAAAACCTTTTAAGAAAAACGATTTCAGAAAAAATACCAGGCATTTTTATTTTGCAAGAGTGTGCATATTACTGGTCTTTACATGTAAAGATTGTTTTAAAACATACACAATTTGGACCTTTTAAATAATGTGAATTAAAATTTGTTTTTAGTTATATAGTAATCCTAAAGTTCAGCTCTTATATGTTTGACTTTATGGTAGCTTATAGGATTTAATTATTTAATATAATGTACTTTTTATTGGAGATGGAAATGGATAATTTAGTTTGAGAGTCTTTTTGAAATTCGTTCTAATTAAAATGTGAGCTAAATAATAGAATAAAGGCATGCACTTTTAAAAGTAATTTCTCTAAAGTTACCTTGAACACAAGAGCTTAACAGTTTGGATAATGTTGAAATTATAATTTCACCAACTATAAATTATATTTTGGATATGTTAAGTAATTGGTTTTCAATTAATGTATCTCAGCCGTGTTTTTACCTTTTCCGGAATTTCCTTGCTTCAATCAATATTTAATGTGTAGTTTTAAATTTAAACGCATTACTTTCCTAAAACAGCACTTGGCATGCAATAACCTCCCAATAAACCATAGATTATTGCATGTCAATAGGAAACTTGCTTCTTGTGAAAGAAGGTGCACTGCCTATATTCACTGTTACCACTTGACAAAAATATTTGAAGTCACTGAACGTCAAAAGCTTTAGTGAAATGAAGTTGCTAAAGTGTATTGTCTGAAAACAAAGTTGAATCTTTAATGTTTTTGTTTGTTTGTTTGTTTGTCTTTCGGAGTTTTTTGTACTGGGAATCGAGCTCGGATCCTTGTGCTTGCAAGGCTGGTGGCGGAACCACTGAGCTAGATCCCTGGCCCTTTAATGTTGTATACTGAGTAGATTTTTAGAACAAAATGCAATGCACATTATATTCAGTGACTAAGTCAAAAGTATTTTTCTTGAATACCTTAAAGTTGCTTTGTATTGCTATGTAACTAAAATGCTTATTTGTATTATCTCAGCCATTTGGTTATATGTATGTGTACATATGTATATATATATATACACACACACACACGTGTATATATATGTATATATATATGTGTGTATATATGTATATATGTATATATATGTATATATATATATATATATATATATATGAAGAAACCATTTTTCTGTATTATTTGGCTCTATTCTTTTCAAAAGTAAATACTACCTAAACTATTTTAATGATTCCCTAAAACTTTCCCTGTCTTGGATTGTAAAATTTCACCTTTTAGATAGGTGGTGAACTCTGGGCCACTAGAGGCAGTTTGCTGCTGTTATTTCATAGCCCGCAGCCTGAACTTTGCCAAATAGACTAGTTACAGCTGTTTAACCAGCCTGTAGACATGAGCCTGTCCATGGTGTATATCTGCTCATCCTAATTGGCATACATTGCCCACATCCTTTAACTTTAGATTTTATTAATGGACATATTTATAGTGTGAGTGAATGTCTTATGTAGTTATTTGAAATCTAAAATTCAGGTTTGGGGTGGATGTTATTTGATGATAAAATGTCTTTGAGATGTCATTAAACATTTTAAGCACAAAGAGAGACTAACACATTTTCTTTTATATACTGTACCTCACTACTTTTTGACCATTTTGTCTGTTTCTTGAATAAACCTAAGGCAATCCTTTTTATTTTTCTGGGATAACTGCAATATGTAATCAAATAAAATTTGTTTAAGGCCTCACAGCTAAATCATACTATTCAAAAGATAAAGGTAAAAGAAAAGGTCATTTAAAAAAATTTAGTGCATTTATCTAAAAAGTTCAGTTTTCTCAGCCTTTTTTTCCTCATTTATTAGCAAAAGGGCTTAATCCTTGGCTTGCCCTACCTTACGGTGTTATACAGTTAACTGAGATTAAAGTTTTCTGTATGTACTACTTGGTTATATTTTTAGACTTGCTTGTTTACCTTCTTTTTCTTTTCTTTTTGGAACTGGGGATCAAACTTGTGACGTTGAGCTTGCAAGGCAGGCGGTGGCACCACTGAACTAAAACCCCTGGCCTTCATTTACCTTCTTTTTGATAGCTCACCTTTTAAATTACATTGTAAAGCTATCACACAATAAGGATGCTTTTAGTTTTGTGTTTTGCTTTGTGTTGGGTCTTGCTATGTAGTCTAGGCTGGCCTTGAACTTAGTATGTATTCCAGGCTGGCCTCATACTTGGCAGCAATCCTGCCTCAGCCTGCTGGTTGCTGGGATTATAAGCATGTGCCAACATGCCTGGCTTAAGAATATATGTTTTTAAAAAATTCAAATGCAAAAATTTGTGGAATTAAAAACTGAAATTCCTCATTACATCTTATGTTTTATTCCTTGTGCAGAGATGCTCTAAGTTATACTTTTACGTGTATCCTTCCAGATAGCTTCTTTGAATTTACTTAGTTGTATTCCTCAGTAAGGGGGGAGGGTACCCTGAAATACTGGTAATGGCAGTGAGATGTTGATTTAGAAGTCCCAGGCTGTCATCCTTGGTTTAGAGTGAAAAGAGATCAGCCTTTGCAACAGTGTAGTCTTAAATACACTGTCCAAATTCAACATGTTTTAAATGGTTGTTAGGTCAATAGAAGCCATCTTTTACCAAAAAATGCGCTGAAAAATGTACATCTTTTTACTGTCTTTCATTTATCTGTTACTAAATACATTAAGAATACAAATGTGATGAACATCTGAATCATGGTTAGTTTTACAGTTTTCATCTGGAGTGTTAGCATGCAGAGTAAGTACATGTGAAAAGGCAGTTTTGAAAAATAGAGTCAGGATACTAGAATGGCAGTGCAGTGAAAATAATACTCAAATGGGGGTCAAGCTCCTGGAAATTAGATCATCGCCTATGGCCTGAGTAGGTTGGAAGGAAAGAACTATCCAGAGTGAATTGTTTTCTAAATGAGTAGGAACTCTTGTGGCTATTTTGTTTAGCAAAAAGACTGCCTGTATCTGGATTGTAAAACTACACCCCTACTGTTTTTCAAAAAGTTCAGCAGAATTACTATATGACCCAACAATTCTCCTAGCCATTAATACAAAATAATTGAAAACAGTTAAACAGATACTTGTGCATCACTGTTCACAGCAGCATTATTTGTAATGTCCAGAAAGTGGAAACAGTACTACTTCTATCAGCAAATGAGTGGATACAGAAAATGTGGCATTTAGACACAGTGAAATACTCGG